ATTAATTAAATAAAATAAAGTAAATTAATTTTTATAATTCTTGGATTTTCTTTCTTATATCTATTTCATTATTTATTTATTATTATTGTAGCATTATTTTTCCTTGCTATTTTATGTAGATTTAGAATGTAACTTGATATTTATGTTTTGTTTCTATTTGTTTTGGTGAATGACTATAATTTTGTTTTTATTTTTATTATATTATTTTATTATTATTTTTTTTGTTGTATAATCAATTAATAAATAATAATATAATTTCATCGATTTATAATACTAACGTATAGTTTCTCTATCGTCATGTATTATAAATTGATAAAATCTATATGTACCTACGTTACCAAGACTTTATGCGATATTAATTCATTATATATTGTCATTAATTAATTAGTTAACCACTTTAATACTAAATCAAAATATATTTCTCTTCTAATTACTAACTTACGAACCAATTAACTAATTTAAATTTAAATTGTTTTATTAATGAAACAATTTATAATGCTAATGTGTAGAGACTCTACCTTTATGCATTATAAATTGTCAAAAATATATGTGTACCAACGTTACCTTAGGTTTTATATAATATAAATCTATCAAATAAAATTTTTAATCTTTTTATTAAATGAATATATTCTTTAATCAATTCAAATAAATTTATTATTTTTAATAAAAATAAAATTAATTTCATATTTTAAAATTTATTGAATTGTATTTCTAATTTTGATAAATTAAATAACCAATTATTTCTTTATTTTTATTTTACTATACAAATTTTTGTAATATCGTCGTGTGATTTACATTGTCTTCGATTGTCCAAAAATTATAAGAGATTAATATATAGCTTACACTATCTTAAATTCTCTTTCAACATTGATCATAATCAAAATTCAAATTCAAAAACTTGATTTACCAATAAAATCTTTTTAACGATTTGCAATATACTTTGTGATCTTCCTTCACTTTCTGTATTGTTTCTCGTATGGTACATGTATAACCGCGTTATCTTGTATTCTAAATATTATAATTTTATAAAATAATTTTAATTTCAAAATAAATTTTCTTTTACTAAACATAATTTTAATCAACTAATTTCATAATTTTTAGATAGAACTATGTGGCTTTGAATTCCCCATTGCACTTGAGGATACGTAAGAGCGGGAACTAGACCCGTCAAGTCAAAATAATTTTCAAAATAACCCAAATAATATCTCAATAAATAATATTTCTTCTTCTAAAATAAAAATAATTAATGTTTAGGGATTAAATAAATATTTTTCAAAATTTAAATAAATTTACACAATTAATTTAAGGTAACCGTTTTTAAACGGACGTTGTAGGGTGTTAATACCTTCCCTACACGTAAATGACTCCCAAACTCATTTTTAGTTTCAAAGATAATATTATATTTAAGTTTTTCCAAGGTTTTTCTTAAAATAAACTTTGGTGGCGACTCCTCTGATATTTTGAAAACGTTTTTCGCCGTACCGTTGCAACTGCCTGATTGCGACAAATTTTAATAATCATGAAATTGTTTCTACGCTTTAACATATGACAAGTGTGGACTAGTTCTGTAAAATCAAGATATTAACAATACCCTGCCTACCATGGATAAAACTAGTTTGGTTGGCAGAAATAACATAGGGAAGAGTTTCCATAATTCTATTAGCAAGAATTTTAGTTACAATCTTATAACTAAAGTTACAAAGAGATATAGGCCTAATTTGATTTATTTGTTCAGGGGCATCTACTTTAGAAATTAAGGATATTACAGTGTCATTAACCTCAGAGATATCAGCAGGATTACTGAAAATATTAAAAACAAATTTAAAAAGTATTGTCTTTTCAAACACTTGGTTCTGGAGCACAGATAAGGGTTTCAAAAAAGCACCGTGTTTTCAAGACTAAGAGAGCGTCACTAGGGGTCTCATCCTAGCGTTCTCAGTAGATCTGCCCATAAAAAATTAAAAGTGGAGAAGGGAGCGAGGAGATCGTGGTGGCTTAGGTATTCACTTGAGTCTTAGAGAGCATCATCGGATGGAAAGAAATGAAAGGAAGAAGAGATCTACAAAGGAGGTGGATTTGAAAGATCGTAGTACCAAGAAGGTGAAGATTGACTCAGAGGTGTCTTTGGAAGGGCTAAATGATTGCATGCATGAAGATCTCCGAATGGTAATCCAAAAGCCGAACCAAATGTTTTCTAATCCCCTTCTTTCTAATTCTTGTTAGTACAAGGATATGGTAATAAGGTCTAAGGACATAAATTTAGTATTGAATGATGAGGAAATACTGAAAATAGTCTTGGAAGACTTTAATGTCACCTCTGAACCTGATGAACATGTAGATCTAGATGATAATAGACAAAATCCAGACCTCAAGATCCCTCTCGAGGAGTATGAGGGGTGGTGTACCCCTTAGAGGTTTACCTTAATAGTAAAACTTCTTGGTAAATCTGAGTTATAACTATATTAACTAGAAACTAAATGCTATTTGAGGTAGAAATGGATCCTTAACCATTTTGGATCTAAATAATGAATTCTTCCTAGTTAAGTTTGAAAGTATAGATGATTACAAGTTTATCCTCTTCAAAGGGCCTTGGTTGATACTAGATCATTACCTTCTTGTTCAGAGATGGAGACCCTTCTTTAGGACAAAGGATTATAATCTTAGAAAAGTAGTTGTGTAGGTTTGTATTCCTAATTTACCCATGGAGTTGTATAACAATAAATTCATCTGGCACGTTGGTGCTTGCATGGGTTCTATGCTAAAGGTAGATCCCTATACTTCTTGTTTGTCTAGAGAAAAATTTGCTAAAATATGCATAGATTTGACCTTAGGAGGAAACTAGTTCCTGCATTTAAAGCACTTGGACATGAGTTCAAGGTTGAAAGTATTTAACTGAATTAGAAATTATTTAAAAATAATTCCTATTTTAATTATAAATTATAATAATATAATTATGTATTTATAAATAAAACAAGATATTATATTTATTATACTCATTAATTAGTATCTATTAAAATTATAAATAATTATCTATATCTAAATTTATAAACATTTAATAAATAAAATATCCATTAAAAAATATTTGTGTATCTTTGTGTCATAACATATCTAGATCCTCGATAATTTTAGTAGAAACTATAGCCAGTAATTTAAATTCGTTTAAGTAAAAAAAAATTATTTAAGTGAATTTGGCAAAAAGTAATTTTTGTTTAAGTTAAAAAAATTTGCTTAAGTAAATTTGGTAAAAAAAAATTATTTTCACTTAAACTAAAATAATTTATTTAAGCTAAAATTATTAAAAAAATTATTTTATTTTTTCCTTTTTTAAACTATAGAGAAAATTAAAAAACTTTTATTTCTTATCAATAACTATTGAGTTATTAAAGATTCTTACATAAATCATCCCACTAAATATTATAAATATATTCTAATTTAAAATATTCTAAATGTATTATCTAGTATGCTATTTATACTAAACATTACTATATTAGTGAGATATAACTATTTAAAATTAAGTTAAATTGTTGATAATAATGATAAGAATGATGATTTTGAGATTAATTTTTTTATAATTTAAAGAAAAAATAAAATTTTAAAATTTTTCATAATTTTGACTTAAATAATATTTTTTAACTTAAACAAAAATTATTTTTCATCAAACTCACTTAAATGAATTTTTTTAGTTTAAACAAAAATTACTTTTATGCTAAATTTACTTAAATAATTTTTTTTCTCTTAAGTAATTTTATATTACAAACTTAAATTCTCGTTAAAACTGAACTGAATTCTTGTTCGGAGTCTCATTGCTATTAGAAACAATCAAACTAAAAGCACCAACATTCATACTTTTCTCATCCTGACGTAACTATTGGATTTGTATACTTAATTTTTAAACAATAACTTTATACATGAAGAAAGGTATAATAAATTGAGTTATATAATAAAGAATTAATTTTTAAAGCATATTTAAAGGATTATAATAAAAAATAAAAAAATTTATTAGATAATTTTTAATATTATTGTATATTTTTATTATTAGAAAGAAAAAATATAAACTAATTTTTAAACGTATTTTTTTTACTTGAAAATGACAAATTTTCTTTTAGTTTCGGTTCTTAATTCACTTTATAGATTAAAATATATAATTAAATTTATTTTTATTTTTAATTATAATTGTGATACATTTTTTTATAAATAAAATTTAAATACAATTAATTAAGTGTGATTTTTAATTAAAATTTAAATCAATAACTAATATAATAAATATCAGTATTAAAGATTGATCTAATTTCATAAATAAATATTTAATTTTAATTAAAAATAAGCATAAAATATTTTTAAAATTATATATAAATTTTATTTGTTAACAATCTCTTAAATAATCTCTCTATATAATGCTAAAGTAATTTTTTTATTGAATTCTTAAACAATTGTTTTCAACTTATTTTAATTGTGAGCTTTATTTTAAGTTTTATACATTTTTTTCATAATATTTTTCATTATTGTCTTTATATATAATATTTTTATAAGAACTAGAATAAAAATTATGTTATATACAAAGATTAAAATAAACATATTTAAATATAAAATAATGATAATATAAAAATATTAATAATAAAGATTATTTAAAAAAATATTTAAATTTTTTACAAAGTTTTTAATGAAAACAAATTTCGTATAAAAATAAAATAGTAGCTAAAAATGTTTCTTTCAACAGTGAGAAAAAGAATGTCAAAAGATAACACGTGGTGATTGACGAGTAAAAACAAGTCAAAACAATGAGCCCGGGTGGGTATTTTCCATGCAAAGGAGCACATAGGAACTCGTTGAAAAAACCAATGACAAAACCACGGCAAGGGAAACTTCACTCACCACTCACCACCTTCTTCTGCTTTCCTCTTCTTATATAACACTTCGATCTTCCTTCAACCAAATGAATCAACAATTTTACTGTTGTGGTCACAGTACATAATATATATCTTCTAAGAGAGTGTAACATCATGTGGAGGAACATCAATGGAAGATTTGCCACAAGATTTTTATCCACTTCTTCTTCAACCCGTGGTTGGTGGGACCATGTGAGAACAGCACCAAAGGACCCCATTGTCAGTGTGAACAAGGCCTTTCTTGATGACCCTTTTCCCCACAAGATCAATCTTGGAATGGTAATGAAATTATGCTTTTAGTTATCATCGTATATATTCATCAACCAACCATTTTGATATTGGTTTCATTTTTTTTATCAACCCGCTTTCTGTACTTTATAAGGGAACTTACAGGGATGATGATGGCAAACCCTTCATTCCTCAATGCGTTCGTGACGCAGAAGCAAAGATTCAGCGATGTAAATTCGAGTGAGTCCTACATTTTTCTTCTCTGCCAAGCATGTAATTGACTGTTATAAGTTCTATGGGTTTCTTGATTCCGGAAATTGATTCTATCATGCTTGCAACTTGATTCATGTTGTTGATGAAAAAACATGATAGTAAAATGTACATTTGACTATTTTTAGCCAAATAAGTTCGGTACGTATATAGAGTTCTGTTATTTGAATTTTGAACATCTTAAAATTGATACCTTATATGACACCATATTTAATTATCTCTGTTTTTTTTTTTTGTTTTTGTAATTTATTTTTTATTCATTTATCTCAAAAACATTCCTCAAAACTAAAGACAACAAAAGATGTTTGACTTTGCAGTTCGAAAAGGACAAAACATCCTCACAGCAACTCAAAAATATAAGAACCTCAACTCTCTTCAGATATTTATTTATTTACTATTTGCCTATGCCAAAACTGTGTCTTGGTCATAGCTAACTTGTTGCTTGCATTAAAAGTGGAACAACTGAACAATTAGCACACTGGGTTATGATTTTTCTATAGCTGTTTTTCAATAGAAAGACTATCTAAAAGATGACCCGATTAAACAAACGGTTTTTTTAATGGTTGAATAAATATGAGATGAAAACAACATTTTAACATAGTCCAAATAATTGTCGGTGCTTTTCTGCACTGATAGTTTGTAGAAAACATTAACTATTTGGTTATAGGAAGCAATACTCAGCCGATCCATCAATTTTGCAGAATAAGATTTTCAAAATACTTCTCTATGATATTGGAAACAATACATCTATGAGAATTTTCGCATTCTCAGAAATGAGTTTAACTTGTGGTTATTGACAGGGAATCAAGCACTTCTGCAGTCAGTTCAAAATTTGTTCAGGAGTGTGTAAAGCTGGCATATGGAAATGATTCATATGTTGTCAGAAAAGGATTGTTTGCAGGAATTCCGGCTCTGTCTGGAACTGGTGCATGTAGGCTTTTTGCTGAATTGCAAAGGCAATTCTATCCTGATTCTCAAATGTATCTACCAGATCCTACCTGGTCAAAGTAGGTTCATTTACCTCTGGTTTATTCTTTGAGATATATATACATTGTTTCAATATCTAATGCACAAAGCTTTTATGCCATAGTCACCATAACATATGGAGACAAGCTGAAATTCCAGTCAAAACCTTCCATTACTACCATCCAGATACAAAGAGTTTAGATTTTGCTGCACTCATAAATGATATCAAGGTAAAAAGAATATGATCATGAAAGTTATTGATAAAGCATAATGCTTAGGATCATACTAACTTTACTATTTAGAATAGATGAGAAGCTTTGGCATCTATTCCTTGCTTCTTGTCTCTCGGACAAATCAATAAGCTATATTATCATGGTAAAATAGATGGATTTATGTTAAACAGTGAAATATCATTTTTGTAATTTTGTTTCTAAACAAATTGAGGTGAACATGAAAACCAGCTTAAGTTGTCAATGTTATATTTTCCAATATAATGCAACATAGGTATAAAGTAACCTTTAATTTTTCTGTTTATTCTTTGTTGGTAATGTCAGAAAGCACCAGATTGTTCTTTCGTCTTGCTTCATCCATGTGCCCACAACCCAACTGGTGTTGACCCCACTGAGGAACAATGGAGAGAAATATCATACCATCTCAAGGTGATGATGACATGTGAGATGCTTTAGTATTGCTCTGTTTCATCCAATCAGTTTTAATATTCTAACATTAATTATTTTCCAGGTAAAAAATCATTTCCCCTTCTTTGACATGGCTTATCAAGGTTTTTCAAGTGGGGATCTTGACAAGGATGCCATAGCACTTCGAATTTTCCTTGAAGATGGGCACTTGATAGGTTGTGCTCAATCATTTGCAAAGAATATGGGATTATTTGAGCATAAAGTCGGTTGCCTTAGGTAAGAAAAGTTCTATATCATAGTAATAGGAGCATAGGGTATATTATGGTCTGTAAAATAGTAGATGTCAAATATGTTCCATGATTTTATGATATGACATGAAGCTCAATTTGTTAATAATGTTACCAATGTGTTTTACGATTTTGATTCCTATGTTCTTTTCCTCTTTACTTGATCTCCAGTAAAATCTAATAATTTTTATATAGTGTTTTGTGCCAGAATATAAAGCAAGTAGCTGCAATGAAAAGCCAACTGCAGCAGATTTCCCATGCAATGTATAGCAGCATTCCTTTTCATGGTATTTTACTTGCAACTATGATATTAAACAACCCAGATATGCAAGAACTTTGGAGGAAAGAGATAAAGGTAATATTCAGCTTTTTAATGTAAATTTCCCTTTTTATCTATGTTTTGATTCAATTCAGGCTCTAAACATAGCTGATGGCAATGTTGTGTTTGAAGGTCATGGCTAAACGAATTCAAGCAATGCGAACTACACTGCGGTGTTCTCTTGAGGACTTGGATTCATCTTCTAATTGGGAGCATATCACTGCGCAGGTTTGGGCTGTTTGAATTTTTAATTTGCATATGCATTTACCTTATGCTTGAGGCATCATATTATAACTTGATCACACAGTTATACACTTCAATGCATGTACAAATGCAGGTTGGCATGTTCTGTTTCTCTGGATTAACCCCTGAGCAGATTGAACTCCTGGAGAAAGTGTTCCATATATACATGACCCCTGATGGAAGAATAAGGTATGTTTTTACCGTTTTTTATAACACGTGTATACATATCTTAAGAAATAGTAATATTTTATTGAAAATTATAACATTTCATATATTGATGCACTAAATTTTGTAATATTTTGTTATTTTCAATAAAATCCATTATTTATAGGTATTTATTAGGCATACATTACAAAAACCAATGCTTTAGTTAAAGGAAATACCAACAATTCAACCATATTTTATATAATTAAAATCTCATTTTGTTTTCTCTTTCTTTGTTTATTCAATAATTATTATTGCTATAGATTAAATTCTTCGTATAACTCCATGGTGATACTTGCAGCATGGCAGGTGTGACAACAAGCAATGTGAATTATTTAGCAAATGCAATACATCAAGTGACCAGAATCAATGAAGAAGCATTAAGCTCATGTTACAATTAGCAACATTAGTACTTTTCTATTTTATTCTGATCATAGGATACATAACCATTTTTTGTTTGACTTGTGTGTATATATACCTGGCAAACAACATACCAATCTGGTAACATTATTCGAGTCAATATTTTTGTACTATCGCGGTCGTTATTGTAAAATTTAATTTGTAAACATGACCACATATTAAATGAGGAATGAAATAGCAGATTTACTTATGGAAACACTGCATTGGAAAAATAGTAATGCATCTTAAGTTAAGATTCCTAACTTGCGAAAGCTTTTGTCGTTGTCTTTCTTCTCGTCCAATTTATTTTTCAATTAAGATAATAAAATTTTACATGGATAAATAGGAATAAATGGATATATAAACAAAAGGGTCATATAGACTCTAAATTGTTTAAGATACTTTAAATAAATATATTATTCAAGTTTGTAGCCTATACTCTCTTTTCTTCAAATCTTAGACTACTAAAATCTTAATATTTTCTTCCTTCAAAATCTTCTGTTGACTTGGAAAGATAATATATAGAACTTAAATTGCTAAGTTAAAAGAATAAATTGATAACAATTAGACAGTGAAGCAGAAAGCCAAAGGAGCCGTATCTACATCCTTTCAACAATGATGAAAAATAATAATAATAATAATAATAATAATCTTTAAGTAAATTCTACGGTATCCTTAAAAATTTTCAGGATATGATACATAAAAAATTATAACTAATAATATTTATATACGTATTTAAATAATAAATTATTATATTTATTATATTTAAATAAGTTAAAAAATAGTTAAATCTTTAAAATAAAATACAATTAAAATTAAACAAATTAAAATATAAAAATAAAATAATAATAATATTATATTAATATATATTTTATATTTTTAATTATATTATTATTAATATTTAATTATTTAATTATTATATGAATATATTATGTTATAATTTTTTATTTATAATAAATAAAAACTGTTTCAGTATAAATTATATTTTATTTGAAATTAAAAATTTATAAAAAAGAATAAAAAATAAAATAAAATATTTAATATATAATAATAATAATAATTATTATTATTATATAACAAATATTATAAATAATATAATTTTAAATAAATTATATATTTTTTTAATTTGTTATGTATCTTTTTTTTATTAAATAAATTTTCTAAGTACAATAGACACCGCAACACACACTTAATCTATATTATTTTTGGGGTGAATAGGAAAAAGCCAAATATAAAAATGAGGTGGATGACTTATCAGCAAAAAATCTCAAGGGACCATTTAATTAATTTATTCCAAATCCTTATCTACGTTATTGAGTACGTCACCATTTAGGCGATAGCTGTTGCTCATGTACTCAGTATATGGTCCGTTTGCACACGGAACTTGGGACAAGATGAAGTCCCTGGCAGCTTATCTGCCGACAAATTAGCAGAATCTAGCTCAAGGAATTTCCATGTTGTTCGGTAGCAAGTGTGACTAAAAATGCTTTACCAATTAATAAAAATGAAAAAGTTAAATATCGTATAAATTATAAGAATTTATAATTTAATATCTTAATATTTTAAATTAAACGTATATTTAATATGTTTTCGTTATGAACCGTCAATAAAAATCTTAAACCTTCTAGTATGTCCTAACAGCTATAGTGTAATATAAAAACAATTCTTAAAACTAATTTTTGAAAGGATCAGTAAAAGAGAGTAAGTGGGGAAAAAAGATGGAACACAAGGAAACAAGGAAGAACATGTAAATAACAACTATAGCTTAGGGATGTTCTGTTGTTTTTTAAAAGAAAAAACTAAAATACAAGAGATTATTTTTTAAAAAAATTTCTAAAATTACTTTTGTCAAACATGTTTTTTTGTTTTTAAAAACGGAAAAAAATTAGAATAAAAAATCAAACAAACCCTATTTTTTTAAATTAAAAAAATTGATTCATTATAATACATTGTAAAATTTGTTATGACCTGTTTTTTTTTTTTAAAAAAAATACACTTCTTTAAAGTAAACAAACGAAAGGGAAAAGTAGTTACTGTTTGCTTATCTGATGTATCATTAAAGGGAAATCTAACAGTTTTCTTTAGGTAAAGCTAAACATAATATTAGGTCACTGCTTAAACAAAGATAATCATTACTTAGATGAGTATTTGGTATTACACATTCCGAGTAACAAGTCGTGTGCAAATAGCTTTTTATTCTTTCAGTTATTGCATAAACTGAAGATATGTCCCTTTATGAGTTGAGAGTTTGTACATGGAACCGTCACAAAAGGGAAATGTTGAACCAAGAGGTAACCCAAATTATGTGTAATCTTCCTTTACTAACACGACAAGCAACAAACATTTAAGGAAATAAAACTGTCAAATGATTCAAAATGATGGAGCTACCTGTCAGCCACATTCAAGCCAAATTGATAACATGATTGTAACAATTAGATCGAAGTGCCATTTATGATTGCCTTGCGGAAACTTGTAGCATATCCTGAATTTGGAATCATGCAAAGTTCTCTCTTTGTGAACTTTGTTTCACCAAATTAAAGTAATTAATTTCCACCAGCTCTTTGTAGTAAATAAAATCACTGAGAAAGACAAAGCAAAATACCTATAGTAAAAGTCTACTGGTGAAAAGATAAAGCAGTAGTCAAAGATGCTGATTAATGTGTTTCTTCTTCCACTTCCCCAAAGCAAAAGTGCCGTGTACCATATACATGTCAATCAAATTCTTAAAACACATCCAGCTACAAGATAATTAATAAACTTTCTACCACTAAATGCTCTCTGAAACTCCCTTAACGTGTGTTTATTATTAATAATAATTTATTATTAGTTTGCCACTAACACCGGAAATAACTAGAAACAATACCGTATTTCTTGCTTATAGAATGAAGTTCCAGAAAAGTAATATACTCAACTTTCTTTTGGCACATCCTAAAATCCCAATCAAAGAAAGAAAAAAATGTGATCATTTCAAGCTACACAAAATATTTAAGATACACTCACACACACACCTTGGAAACAAGCTTGTTAAGTATTTGAGAGGACAAAATCAAGACCAATTCCAGCATAGAAAACTGGTTGTCCTAACATGAAAGTATTAGCTAGAAAGATATACAAAGAAAACTTATGAACAACACATTGTCCACTCCAGATCCAAGGCCAAACTACTATGACTAGTCTTAATTACCTCATATTCCTTTCCTGTGAAATTTTAGAACTGTTGGCACGAGTAGTGCTGAAGCACAATTTGGAAGAGGGTGAGGCTGCAACATTTTCTTCATTGTCACCACCCCTTATATCAGTAGATGATCCATAGCTTAAGAATTTCTTCTTGCCAAACTTGGCCATAGGGACAACTTTGGAGGAACCTGATGGTGAAGACCATGAAGGGTATGATGAGGATGACATAATCATTTTCTTGAGGTTAAGTTTTGGTATCAGTGTCAGCAAAAGATTGGACTTTGAGCGCTTCTTCTCAGGCTTTTTGTATGCATTGATATTCAAATGATAAGAAGGTGGAGGAGTTAGAGGAGGGAGAGTGTCCTCAGAGAATGAGTATTTGGGTGTGCCAGGTTGAGATTCCCACACAAATGGAATAGCAAGGGCCACTCTGAATGATGGGTTAGACATGGAACTTTCCTTTGAAAGTAGCCTACGGAAGAACTTGTCATCTTGCTTGATTTGAAGAACACTCTGGGGTAGCTCGGTTTTAGTATTAAGCATCTTTGTTTGATCGGAAATGTAGTAGGTGTCACTACGGAGTTTGAATGGGTTTGTAGAGAAGGATATAAAAAAATGTTTAGGATTGAATTCAGGTTGAAGAGAGCCACATCGCTTGAGCGTGTTTTTATATGCTACACTGTACCTCAATGGATGCAAGTTGGTTATTGATAGTGATCAACATTAAACTTCACACTTTAAATGACAAAGTTTCCAAATTTACTGTTTTGACCATTTCCTTTGCTTATTTTACTGACTGATGAGCAGAATCAGAGGCTTGGTTTGATACTCTATTAACACGTTCAAAAGTAAGGCAAATCTTGTTTTTGTGGTTTTGTGTTTCTCACACCCCTTTTTGCTTTACATTCTTTTTACATATATTTTTGTCATTTTTATTTTTCTTTCATTTTTATTATATATTTTACTTTGTTAGTCTCTCTTTTTTTTTCGCTTTCTAGTTCACTCTTCTTCTACTGTACTAACCTCGTAAAAGGACGTAAGACAGACATATTATTTTTATTAGAGATTTAAGATGCATTTAAAAATATAATATAATTAAATATTTATTTAATTTATTTTGTTAATAAGCTATACTAAAAAAATTCATTGAAATAAGCTAAAACAGCTCATAGAAATTTTAAGTTATTTTTCTAAATTTTTCATAACCTCATCCGAATAATACCTTAATAATTAAAAAAAAACTATCCTTGATTCATGCCTTAAAAGGAGTAATAATAAAAAAATAAATTGATTCCTATAAAACCTTCCACAATTTTTTTTTTTTGTGTAATTCTTTTGTGCAATAAAAGTTAATATTAAATATTAATACAAGTTACTAAAGTAAAATTTTTAATTTAATCAAAGATAAGTACACAAATACTTATAATTGTAAGGCTAAATTCCATCCAGATGTAATATGAAAATCATTCACAGTATTCACTGTGTCTTCACTTAATAGTTTAAAGTTTTGAGATATAATATCATATCAGAGCGTCTCTAATCAAATGATCTAAAGTTGGATCATTGACGCATTCATTATTTTAATTTTAAAAAAAATCAGTATAAAGTTAATAGTCCTGTACTATTAACATTTCAAGATCAAAAGTTTTTACATGAAGAACGAATCAAATATATAATATAAAAAATATTTATGTAACTTCACCTAATAATTTAAGCTTCTGGCATAGTAATATGATAGTTTTCAATTGAGAAATGATGAGTAAACTTATCATGGTTATCCGAACTGACAAGCAGTACATTAATTCTAGCCTTTGATTTCTAGCATACTGGGTTTGGCCCCACACGTGTAATGTAATGCTGTACACATTCTCATGCACCACTTAATTTCGGCAAATAGTTGCAGCATATTCCAATGGTTAATTTGTATAGCATGTCTTGATACATGAATTGCTTGATCCAGTATACCTAAAGATGGTGCTAAATTTATGGCTGCAGATCCTCAGGACTAAATTTGAGGAAGCAACACCAGAAAATGGTCACTTTTAAAAGGAACTAACATGGGACGCACGTGCCCCATTAAGGGACGTGCTCTTCTTTCTTCTTGCATTGTTATTATCTTGTATTAAGTGCTACCCTCACATGCACCTTTCATTTATGGTGACTGAAGAATTTGATATGGCCACATGGGTTTCTTTAACTATCCCAAAAAGACTTAGACATGGGCCATAATGCTATGATAATGAATGAGACTTAACTAGTAAATGAATTAGTGGGAAGATGAGCTACCTTGAGGTCAATGTACATCATTTATGACATTTTTTGTGTGGGTTGTGTCAGTGTTCTGTGAGATTGTGGCACCTGGAATTGAACACAACACGATTATATGTGTAGGCTTCATAGATTTAGATGGGAGTGGATATAATAAGATAGCTAAAATTTATGTAATGGTTAAGCCATTTATAAGAAATCATCATCACTGCACAATTTTATATCTAATGATCAGTAATAATCACTGGGACAACTAATATGATGGTTGCATCAATCTATCAAATTACTTTGGTTTATCATCCAAAACAATTCTTTGAACAGGAAATTGAGGAATTATTTTTGTGTGAAATAGTTCCAAGATTGTATTTAGTTGGTACAACAGGTAAAACGTCTTTGCAATTGATGGATGTAGCGATTTGAGAGGTGAAGGTTATGGGTTTAAAAAGGAATTAGGTAAAAGATATTCAAAAGTAGTTTCTATAAGAGATATTCTACTCATACGTTATTCTTTTATAATGTTTTTAATAATGTAAGAAATTAGAAGAAATTACAGAAAATATGAGATAAGATAAATAATATAACAAAAAAATTATAAAATATATTGTATAAATTTATTGTAAGTGTAATATTATTTTTTATAATTTAAAAATTAGGAAAATAAACTAAACTAATTGATTATATATTTAAACTGAGGTAATATATACGAATTCTATTATTTCAACATCTATCAAATTATATACAATTGTTTTTCTTATGTTTTATCCTTTTAGTGTACACATATCATAAAAAAAATAATGACCACAATTAAAAGAACATCAAAAGATAGATAACACATTTTTAGTGGTATAAAAATCATTTTCCAGTGATGTACCATCCTCAAAATCTATCACCACTGGTAGGTCAATCCTTTCCTTTGACAGTTAGACCGTGAGTATTATTTAATAAAATCGTTGAAAAGTAGCAACTACGGAAAATATATTTATAGTGTGTAATATCTTAATATTTTTAATAAAAAAATGACTATATATAAATTTTTATTATATAATGTAAAGCACGCGTGAGTGGAAACTAATTAGCGTGAAAGGTGAAATTAGTATTTGTTGGGTGTGGAATCTCCTTCATGTATGGGGTGCAAATTATTTAGTTTCTCTATTTGTTTGTAGCCAGTGAGTGACCAGTGGATAAGATATATAATTATTTGGAAATTAATTAGAAGTTGAAAAAGTGAATTATTAAAATTCTGCTGGAATTTACTATAATTCAATTAAATTCTGCTGGCGCGCACTTTAGCTCAGAGATTCAGTACCCATAATTGGGAATGGGAAGCATTCTGAACTAAACCGCACGTACGCGGCACCTAACAGTGGATCTAAGCTGTAATTCTTAGAAATGTTGCCTTTTTTTAATATTTTTTAAAAAATAATTTTTTAAAATAATATTTTTTTTAAATATATTCTTTGTCTAGATTTTTTTTTTCAATATCAGCACATGTTTTGTCTATTATACACATAATTTTTTTTATTTTTTTAATTAAATTTCATCTTCACTTAAATAAAATTATGCGTGTGTACCATGTATCACTATTTAATAAATTTTTTATGTTAAATACACGAAACTCACAGGATTGTGCTACATATTATGTTAATCCAATCATAAAAATTTACTTTAAAGAAAAAATTTAGTGAAATAAATTTATTATAATTAGTGAAAAAACTTAACTCACAAAAAAAAATTAAATTCAATCATACATATTATAAGATGAACAATAATAATAAAAATAAATGTTATCACCAAAAGTTAATGAAAAAATAATTAATTATAATTATATTTTTCAAATACATTTATTCTCTTTCTTAGTACTTAGATGAATATGACAAATGACACAATCCTATGAGTTTTGTTTATTTAGCAAACAAAACTTAAAACATGTGTCACAATTATATAATTTTGTTTTTATTAAAGATGAAATTAAATAAAAAATTAAAAAAAATAATTTTGTCTATATGATAGATAAAATAGGTGTTGATATGGCAAAATCGAATAGGATATATGGTTTAAAAAAATATTATTTTAAAAAATAAAAAAGTCCAAAAATATTACATATTTATTTTTTTTGAAATAAAAATGAGAAATTGTAGATACGCTCATGTTCCTTCAATTCTGCCTGCTTAAAAGTGAACCTTTGTCTTAAAAAATTATAATTAGTGATAGAAATTTATTATCATATAAACATATGATAAATTATAAACTTGTTAATTTTTTTATTAAAATTGAAAATATTTCTTTGTTTTTAAGAGTCAAATCACACTTTACACGAGATGAGTTTGAATTTTCAGAATGTCAATGGTTGCACACTTGCACTCCCCTGAGCAAGCATTTTTTTAAGATAAATATCGGATGAAACAGAGGCTTGTTTTATATTTTTTTTTAAATTTTAGAAATATAATTTTTTTGATAAAATTGTATAAATATAATTTTTCTTCAAAAATCGTGGTTTACCACTTTTGGTAAAAGCTGTGAATTATAACTTTTGAATACTTTTTTTATATTTTTAAATATTTTATTATTATTTTAAAAATTATAATTGATAATTTTTTTATTTTTTTTAAATTCGTCATTAATAATTTTAAAAATTTATCATTTTTTAACTTTTTATTTATGAATTATTGTACTTACACATCATAAAAAATTATTATTATTAATTTTTAAATGTAATTTTTCAAACAAAATATCATATTTTAATATATATATATATATATATATATATAATTTCAAAATATCATATATAAAAAAATAATCCAAAAATAGATATTTTGACGTTATCTTTGAGAGTGTATATACACTCTTAATTTATAATTTAATAAATATTTATGATTTTTTTACTGTTTTTACCATATGAATTGTAATCTCTTTTTTATTATTATTATTATTATTATTATTATTATTTGGGTTCCTTGTTCCACTACTAATTACAAGTCATGGCACATTGGATCAATTGAACCCATTTTCAGGTAATTCAGATGGGGCCTCAAGTTCCCTGTTCTACCCAAACTACTTTCCACAAAGCCCACCACAAAAATTGTACTTTTCCTCCGCACGCTTTCGCTCTTGTGTGTGATTTTAATTTCTTAAATTTTAATTATCAAAGTTTTTAATTTTTTAATGATTCAAATTAAGTTCTTCATTTTTAATTTTTTATTTAAGAATTAATAAAAATATAACTAACATAAAATATATTATTGATTTGTACAAATATGTAAACTTAAATACATAAAATAATTAACTAAAAATAAAAAATAGCTTTTATTATATTTTATGTAATTTATTTAAGTAATATATATA